CAATGGGGGTGTCAATGTCGGTGGAGGGCACAATAATGGTAACCACGGTTGGGGTGTGAATGTTGGTTGGCCCAATGGGGGTGTCAATGTTGGTGGAGGGCGTAATAATGGTAACTCAGGATGGGGCTTTAATTTTGGTTCACAAGGAAAAAGGGATATTGGTAGGTGCATTACGGCATTTATCGATAATTCTAATGTTATCTCTCTGTTGCTATGTTGTTGTTGTTTGTTTTTCCATACACAATCAGGGAATTTTTTGCATCAATACAATGCAGACTTTTTCCTGCTCATATAATGTGGTGGGCAGCCTCTGGAGTTTTGCATGAGGTGAACCATCCCGCCACCAACACTTTCTCACCTATCTTCCCTCTCCTCCCCCCCCCCCTTCACTTGCGTGCTTATCCATCCATTCGATTGATTAGCCATATTTTATCCTATATTACGTCAGTGATTTGTTTGCTGTTGTTAGATTTTTCAGTGCAGTCCCATTTACTTCAACTCAACCTCATAATGTTCCAAGAAGATTTTAAAAAAAGTTACAACCATTGATTTCAGATAATGTTAATTACTTTTGCAGCGCCACATCTAAATGACCCCAACGTTTACGGTGATTGGAACAATGGTGGTAATACTATCGGTGGTTCCTACAACAATGGTAACTCAGGTTGGGGCTATCATAATAATGGTTATTACGGAAAAAGGGATATTGTAGGTGCATTCATTGACCGATAAGTCTAATGGTATCTCTTAGTCGTTATGTTGTTCTTGGTGGTTTTTCCATACACAACCAGGGATTTTTTTTGCATCAATACAATGCAGACTTTTTTCTGCTTCCATAATGTGATGGCCAGCCTCTGGAGTTTTGTATTAGATAAACCATCCCGCCACCAACCCCTCCTCCCCTACCTCCCCTCCCCTCTCACCCTTTACTTGCTTGCCCATCCATCATCTACTAATCCCTTACCCATCCATCGATCCATCAACCCACTAGTCTGGTAATAGTCTGAAACAAAGTCGTCCTCTTTATTTCAACAGGGGCACTGATAATTTACAAAATGGGGCATTAAATAATTTTTTTTCAGAGTCTTTTTTGCCATTTAAGCTCTGTAAAGAGAATTATACTTTTCATATCGATCTCTTACTTTTGTGAATTCTCTCACATTTCAGTTCCAGCTATGTACGACTTTGGAGAAGGAAAAGGTCAAGGCTCGAATGATATGGAAAAATATGAATGAGACTTGTCCTGACTTGTTCAGCTCCAACACGGAAAAAAAACTTTTAAACTCGATTTTGCAACAGTTGTTGATAATTATAACGATTCAGATATAATTCTGTAATTGCAAAGAACTCGAATAAAAGATTGAAATGGAGCGTAGCTAAATGTTTGCGTAGTTATTTTGTTCTCTTTAGAGGGAGAGTCTTATCGAGCTTGGTATTGGGAGGAGAGGTCAAAAAGTTAAACAGAGATTATAGTTTTAAAATAATATTTGAAGGCCAATTTCTCGCTTGATATTGTACATGAACGCGCACTTCTAATTGGCTGAAAACGAATGCATTCTCATTCTCTCTACGAGTGCAAAGTTGTAATACGAGTGCAAATTACAAATAGCGCGCGCACGCTTTCAAAATTTCGACTGTACATGTCTTGAATTTCTATGAAGAATTTTCATGTGGATTATTAACAAGTAATAACATGATTTCTCTTGCAAGTTGGTGCAATATGCAATTTTTCAAAGACAACAAATTTCACTTCCCCTGCGGGCTCGTGCAAAAACATCACAGAAATTCAAGAGAGCGATGCCTTCATCAGAAACTTAGCTTGTTAGCTCAGTTCGTAGGGCACTGAATCGGTATCGCAGAGGCCATGAGTTCAAATCCTGTATAGTCCTGAATTTTTTGTTCCTCAGACCTTATTTTACAACTTGCCTAAGTAGTATTCATTATTGCGAAGATCGCTTTGATATTCACCTCTATTTTTGTTGTATGATTTTTCAAGCTTCACCCATAGATTAGTGGTTGCAAAGCTAACTGATGAGGTCTTGATATAGGATAAAAAACCTGAATTCAATCGTCTTGAATTACGATATAGTTTGATGCCCAAAAACT